GTTCCATTGATTATAAAGGTCAAGACTATGAACTAATACCATTTGGATCTGGTCGGAGAATTTGCCCCGGAATGTATATGGGAGCTGCAACAGTGGAGCTTGCGCTGGCTAATCTGCTTTACAAATTTGATTGGAAAATGCCTGCCGGGTTGAAGGAGGATGATTTGGATTTTGATACAACTCCTGGGATTACAGTGCACAGAAAGAATGCTCTATGTCTTTTAGTTAGGGAGTACAAAGGAGAGTAGAAGATTTATGGTTGTAAGTAGTAAGTTGTAAGTAGTTAGGATTGAATAAATGTTGCTCCCTTCCTGAAATATCGTTCAATAGATAAAAAAAAGAAAAAAGAAAAAAAAAAATAGTGCTTGAAATACAGGGTTGATATATCCAGATTTGATGTTAGCATACCGCAGCATGTTCGTAGAAGAGGGTAACAGAGTAGCACATGAGCTTGCAAGAAGGGCAGCTGTCATTGAGGAGGATGAATGGTAAGTAGTGGAGGTTCCAGTGGATATTATGCAGTTTGTAGCACATGATATGATTACTATGTAACACCTTATATTTTCATGTAATAATATGAAATATTCACATCATACCAATTCTCTTCTTCATTAATAATATGGATAAATTAGAAATAACACATTTAATGTCAAAAATAAAGATTAAGATAATTAAATAAAAAGTTTAAAATCTTATATTTAATAAGTGAAATAACTAAGTAAAAAACAAAAATATATATATACATATTAAATAATTTTATTGGTGATCTTTTGTCTATTTTCTTATGTGTTATATCGACAAAAATTGATTTCAAGTTCTTAGTACTACTGTAAAAGAGTGTATCAAATATCACATAAATGAACGTGAGAGAAAAAGAAGAAAATTAGTATGCAATCAACTCTTTAGAAGTGAGGGGAGTAATGGTTAAGAAATTCAATGACCATGTTCCGTGGAGGACTCGCATTGTGAATTTGACCAATGTTCCGTAGAGGACTCCCATTCCAATAATGCTGAAGCGATTTCGAAAATGAGTGATGTATACAGTAGATTAAATTTGTATGGACCTTAAGGT